GAAAGAGAGGGGGCAGTGAAAGAGAGGGGGCAGTGAAAGAGAGGGGGCAGAGAGAGAGAGGGGGCAGAGAGAGAGAGGGCAGAGAAAGAGAGGGAGAGGGCAGAGAAAGAGTGACAGAGAGGGAGGGGGTGACAGAGAAAGAGAGGGGAACAGAGAGAGAGAGAGAAGGCAGAGAAAGAGAGAAGGCAGAGAAAGAGAGAGGGAGAGGGCAGAGAGAGAGGACAGAGAGAGAGAAGGCAGAGAGAGAGAGGGGGAGAGGGCAGAGAGAGAGAGAGAGGGCAGAGAAAGAGAGAGAGGGGGTTGCAGGGAGAGAGAAAGAGAGAGAAAAAGGAAAGAAAGAAACAGGGAAAGAAAGAGTGATGCAACATCCATGAAACCATCTGGCAGTGTATGATCCTCATAAACACAATCCTCACAAACACAACTAACTTATTAAATAGAAAGGAAGGAATTCCCAGAACACCATTGGAACAAAAATTGCTAGCCAAGATTTAATATTTTAACAGGTGAAACATATGTCAAATAAAAAGCCAATTTTCACTAAAAATAATAGATATTACTACAATATGCCTCATGTATTTACAAGCACTAACAACTAGAGGAAGGGTCCAGTAAAAATTACAAAAGCAGATTAATTAGTTATTTGTCTGTCACTGGAACATTACATTGTTGGGAGAATGATGATGTATCTGAACCAATGGAGTGCCCTCAAAGAGCACTGTGGTCCTCAAGAAGTTTGAGATAGAATAGAAATGCAAATGTCCATAGATCCTCCAATAGGACTCACTCAACTTTCCAAGCCTTATGCTTTTTAAAACCATTAGCTAAATGCCTGACTTTACAATCTGCTATACAATTTGATCTATTTTGTTAGCCAAATCAGCAAAGCTCTGGATTATAAATGATCATAGAATCCAGACAGTGTGGAAACAGCGCCTTTGGCCCAACAAGTCTACACCAACCCTCAGACACCCCACTCAGACCCAGGCCCCTTATCTATACATCCCTGAACACTTTGGCATGGCCAATCCACCTAACCTGCACATCTTTGGACTTTGAGAGGAAACCCACGCAGACACAGGGAGAATGTGCAAACTCCACACAGACAGTCGCCCGATGGTGGAATTGAACACGGGTTCCTGGTGCTGTGAGGCAGCAGTGCTAACCACTGAGCCACCGTGCCACCAAAATAAAATAAATAAAAGCTAAATACTGCAGATGCTGGAGATCTGAAATCAAACAGAAAGTAGTCAGCAGGTCTAGCAACATCTGTGAAGACAGAAACAGAGTTACCGTGTCGAGTAAGATATGGACCACCTTTGGACTCAGTGTTAGCTCTGATTGCCACACTAGAGAAACTCAGCACTTATTGTTTGCATTATGCCTGTAATTGTAGTGGAGACAGTTCAATTGTGGTGGAGATGTTGAAGAGGACATTAGATTTGGATATTATTTGGATAGAAATAATCTGGAAAGGCAGAAGACTGACAGTAGGTAATGATGCTCATTTGAAGAGCTGGTGTAGACATAATGGACCAAATGGCTTCCTTCTATGCAGAACGACTTCTGCAACAATTCCACAACTGTGTATCAAAAGATTGAACGATAACTGATATATCTTTAAGTAAATACACGTTAAGATGAGAATCTACATCAGAACAAAATGGTCCTGAGCCTGAAGCTGGATCTTGTATATTCCATTGATTAGCAATGCAGCTCACCCTTGTGGTAAGAATACTGTAGGAAGTCGTAGTGCATGGGTAGGTAGTTCTCGATGGGAGAAAGGCGGCCTGCTCGTGTTGCCAACTCTCTCACGCAGTCATGTTCACACTGGAGGACCTGGATATAATGATCTGGGAAGGGAAGAATCACATAACAAAATGATAGTGCACAGTCCACAAAGCTAAATCCACTTGCTGAACTTCAGAGAATGGGTTATACCGTCAAACTGCTACCGCACTAGAAACAATTAATTCCTTACTCACTTCCTGCTGTTTCTTTGTTATTTTCTAGATGCCATTTGGGACAGGTTTATGCTTTACTTTCCTCTCCTTGTTTTTCACCTCATTTCTGAATGTCCTTAACTTTTTCTCCCTCTCCCTGCATCTTTATCGAGGTTCAGATCCATCCCACTCTCTTGGAGATGATTTAAATGGTAACCAATTTGTGTGGATGGCACTGTCATCGCAGAACGTTCTGGGTTCCAATTTCCCATCCAGGGACCTGGGCCTACTATCCAGCTAGGCACACTCATGCAATGCCAAGTGGGTGCTGTGTGCCACAGGTGGCAAAAGAAATGAGGCCCCACATGTAATAACCCACAGCACTGGTCAGTGAAGAACAATCTATCATCTTTCTGTTTTTGTCACCTCAGCTGACCCTTTCTGGTAGGTAAGGGTCCATGGTTAGAGTGAGGGGAACTTTCTCTGAGTGAGACAGAGAGAAGTGAGTAAACCTATGATTCGTCCTTAACCACACCCACAGCTAACCTTCTTGTTTTCCATTATCTGCTTGTGACTCTCATCCGGTGAACTATGCTAAGGGGCAGTAAGGAAGTGGATGAAAGAATGAAACTGGTTGAAAGAAAACTTAAAACATGACTTTGAACAATTGACACTTTAATCTTCATCTAATCATGTTTATATTCAAGTCAATTTTGATGTTAGATCCTCCCAACACTAGGGGACTGTGACTAACACGCCAATACCAATATGTAGAAGTCCCAGCTGGAAACCTCGTGTGGAGCGAAAACAGCAATGAGCACTGGGGAACGAGGAAGCAGCCGTACTTAGAGGGATAATTTTATGAATGGGATGAATAGTTGACTCAATAAATGGCCAGTGCCAGATTCATGTTCAGCACTATTACACAATGGAACTTCCTAGTGCCCATTCTGCACACTGCTGAGTTTGGGAAATAACATAGGATAACACTTAAGACTTTTTTTTAAAATTTAAATAACCAGGTGGCAAATGTTAAATAGAATTCACAAATCGCTTAAGTCATTCCTGGCACAGTCTGGTTTGTTTGGGATCCCAATGATGTGACTGAGGCATTTCCACATTCCGTAGTTATTAGTAACTCTATGACTATACAGTATGACCCAGCTGGATGAGACAACATCAGACAGATACTCTTTAACCTTGTCTGGCAGTAAAGAAAAGCTTCGGTACCCTGATAGCTAGCTCCCTAATCTATCATAGACCCACAACAGCTGATACTGAAGGTGGCAGAATAACTCTCTTCATTTAAACCATTGCAATTTTAGTCCACTTTGTTTTCAGTTCACATCTTCTCCGGTGCATCCTTTCACACTTCTCCATAGTGAACCCTATTAACTATGCTTTCCTCCATTTTGACATTCTGTCTGTGTGTCACCCTACAAACATCGTTATTTACCACTCAGAAAGGAACAGGAAGATGGAGAGAAAGTGGGAAGGATTCAAAGGGAAGGACGTTGTTCTCAGAAGAGATAGAGAACAATCCTTCAGAGGAGAGGAGAGAAAACAGATTTTGAGGAATTACCTCAGGAGAGATGAACCTTTGGAATGATTACAGCAGCATACATCTCCTTTGTCTGAACCGTCTTCTAGTCTATGTAAGGAAGCAGCTGGATGATTCAACTCCATTTTGCAAAGCAGCTTGAATTAACAGGAGTCAACTGTGTTCTGGCAAGTCAACATCAAGTGTTGTCACATGGTTTCTGTTTGTTTTTCCATCATAAACAATTTGGATCAGATTGTTTCACGTACTGTAGTCAGAGATCTACAGCCGGAGTTTAGAAAATTATAACTTCCCCGAAAATACGCCTTATGTCATGACCTCATAATTAAGAGATGTCAGCAACAGGAAATTAAGAAGCTAGTGAGCCCACTGTTCATTTTATTCTGAAAAGACAGGCTTTATTGATTTACTAAATTAGTACATTAAGGCTAGAGGATAGAAGCATTAATTTAACTTCTAAAAATATCAAAATGAAGATATTATAAAGAATGGTGGGACAGTGGTAAAGTTTGCAATATGGAATGTGCCTGGTCCAGGGCACGCAGATTTGCATTAACTGTTTGCGGTTCCAGGAGATCCGGCTCAGTGTGACTGAGCTGCAGACTCTGTGGCACATCAGAGAGTGGTCATGGTCGATGTAGTAAATTACAGAGGAAGAGGCAAGAGAGCAAAGTAGGAATAAGGGTTATAACAACCAGAGAGTGACAGGAAGGGACAAACTGTACAAATGTATCAGCATATCAGCAGATAAGGCCAGGTACTGCTAAAATGGTAACAAGACAGAGTTAACACAGTGTGGAGCTGGAGGAACACAGCAGGCTATTCAGCATCAGAGGAGCAGGAAAGCTGACGTTTCAGGTTGGGACCCTATTCTTACTAGCTCTCACAAGACAGAATTAATGGCTCAGCATTGGAAGATACGGAGCATTCATAACATGAAGAATGAATTGACAGTTCAAATAGAAATAAACATGTATGATCTGACAGCCATTACACAGACATGGCTACAAGACAACAGAGCCTGGATCTGAATATTCAAGGGCACATGATACTTCAGAAGGACAGGCAGCTGGGAATAGATGGAGGAATAACTCTGTTGATAGAGGGTGACATTAATACGATGGAGAAAAACTACTTTAGTTCTAAAAATCAGGAAACAGAGTCAGTTTTCATTGAGATGATAAACAGCAAAGGGAAGAAGTCACCTTTGGAAGTACTTTGCAGGCCAACCAACAGTAACCATAGTGCAAGATAGAATATTCAGAAATAAATTACAGGGGCTAGTGAGAAAGATATGACAATAATCATGGGTAATTTTAATCTCCATGTAGAATGGAAAAATCCGATTGACAATGGTAGCCGAGAAGGTGAGTTTATAAAGTGCTCTTGGAACAGTTTCTTAGAGTGGCACATTCTAGAGACAAGCAGAGAGCAGGCTATACCTGACAATATTTAAAGAGACAGGATTAAGTACTGGCCTCATAATAAAATGCCACTAGGTACCACTGTTCATAACATAACCTTTTTTTTTGCATTTAGTTCATTTAAGAGCTAGCTGAAGTGAATTGGGAATTAGGTTCAGGAATATTTCAGGAGAAATGGAGTGGCAGAAACCCAAGAAGATATTTCATCACTCAGCAGAGATACAGTCTGGTGAAATTCTAGGGCACACCGTTGGTAGCAAACTATGGAAAAGAAAATTATAAAATTTTGTGAAGATTTAGTGGCAGATTTGAAGATTGGATAGAACATTAAAAACCAAAAAATTAAATAATAATGAGGGAGAAATTATAGTATGAGAGAAAGCTAGCTAGAAATATAAAAACAAATATTTAAAGAACGAAAGAGAAATGTTGGTCCCCGACAGAATCTAGGAAATTAATAATGGAAAATACAGAAATGGGGGATAAATTTAACAGATACTTTCTGGCTGTCTTGATTGTACAAATTGTTGCAAATAATATCACAGAAAATATTGTAAATCAAGAGGTAGAAGGGAGGGAGGAACTTAAACAAGTAAACCACTAGAGGAAGAATAATGAGAAAATTACCACAAGTTAAAACTGACATGCCCCCGGGTCCTTAATGGGCATAATCCCAGGGTCTTAAAAGAAGCCACTGCCGAGATAGTGAATGCATAGGTTTTAATTTTCCAAGGACGTTTTTCTCTACAGAATAGAATATTTCTGAGGCCACATCTGGAGCATTGTGTACACTGCTGGTCAGTTTACTTACAAAAGTACAGAACTGCATTAGAAGACATTTAGAGGAAGTTTGCTTGATTGATTCCTAGAATTAAGAGAAGGTGGGGAATCTTATGAGGAAAGGGTGGAGCACCTGGACTCAATCATTCAAGTTAAAAACATATGGATGATCTTACAGAAATATAAAAGATCCTGAGGGGCAAAATAAGAAGTTGGTGGAAAAGCTCAGCAAGTCTGGCAGCATCTGTGAAGAAAATATCAAGAGTTAATGTTTTAACCCGAAATTTTTTCTTCCCATTTGCTGCCAGACCTGCTGAGCTTTTCCACCAACTTCTGTTTCTGTTCTTGTTTACAGCATCTGCAATTCGTTCATTTTTTGTAAAGATCCTGAGGAGCTTTGGTGGGGGAGGTTAGAACTAGGGGATATAGTTTAAAAATATAGGATCTCCCATTTAAGGTGGAGATGAGGAGGATTTTATTTTCTTTCAGAAGATCTAGAATCTGTAGAGTTCTACAGAGACCAGTGGAGACAGGGTCATTGAGTATTTTTATGGCAGAATTCAGCAGGTTCCTGATTAACTTATAACTCTTGTCATCGGTGGTAGGCAGGATAGTAGAACAGAAGTCCCAATCAGCTTAGTCATGATCATAGGGAATGGGGGAGCAGGCTTTGACTCGGCCTACTCCTGTTCCTCATTTGTATGTTTCTGAGTGAGGTCCCTATGATGGCATTGATTGGTTCCTGACTAATTGATACCCATTGTACAAGGGAATCCTGATCAAGTGAAACCCAGTGCAGATGAGCGAGATGATGACACACAATCTACAAACAAGTTTGCTAATTCATTATGTGGATTTTACAAAGTGAGTGAACAGGACAAGGTGGTCATGATAGTGAACCTGGGCTACAGTATGGTCAAACAAACATGGCAAGCAGAGACAGGAAATATAAATTGGGAGAAAAGGGAAGTTGAGCAGAGGCAAAAAGGAGACCAGTAGAACTGACACAGGGGTTACACCTTGATCTGGAGAAGCAGGTAATGGTGTCTTGCTTATTGCCTTTTGCCACTGCTAAAGTGATTACTTTCATTATATTGATATGGAATCAGTAAAATGATCAGACAATGAAGAAGGAATTTTCCTTCCATGGGCACAGGCCTATGCACACTTGCTCCAGGAACCTGAGGGAGTTTATTACCTGAGGTGTGTCCACTCTCTAAAGTAAAGTGGTGATCAACAGACACCAGCAAATCTTTTAGCTCTTGCAGCCAATGACAGGACTAAGCAGTTCCAGGTCAGTCATGCAACAAGAAGGAAAAATGCAGCCTTCACCAAAAGGAGACGTGATGGCCTAGTAGTATTATCGCTAACCTATTAATCCAGAGACCTAGGTAATCTTCTAGGGATCTGGGTTTGAATACAAACATGGCAGATGGTGGAATTTGAATTCAATAAAAATCTGGAATCAGAAGCATAATGATGACCATGAAATCATTGTTGATTGTCAGGGAAAACCCATCTGGTTCACAAATGTCCTTCCTGGTCTGGCCTACAAGTGACTCCAGACCCACAGCAATGTGGTTGACACTTAACTACCCTCGGGGATGGGCAGTAAGTGCTGACCTGGCCAGCGAAGCCCACATCAAATGAATTAAAAAGAAAGACTCAGAGTACCCCCAACTTCAGGCTGAGTGTGCCAAGCTTAGCTTAACCATGATGGGGGATCCAATAGCATTGCAGACATTGTACACACTCACATATTATAACCATGTCAATCTGCCAGCATTTCAGTCGGCGCTGGGATCAGGAACGGGTGCAAGCATGTTTTGAAAATCCCATACCCAGAAGGTGACACTGGAGCATGCAGATTTCAGAACACAACACAACTTCCAGAGCAGATTGATCCTGAGGGGGTGAAGGGCAGCGGGAGTAGAATCCAGAGACGGAGCTCTGGATAGGACTTCGTGACTTAAAATGTGATGTAGGATTGTGTGCTCAAGAAACAGGTTGAGAGGCTGAGTGAGTAATATCTGGAGGGAGGTAGAGTGTAATGTCCTTACTTTTGTCATTTATGGTTTGTTAGGAATAGAGGGTAAGGGGGAGGGGGAGGTGTCTGATTTGGTTAGAAAAGGGTACGTTTGAGTAATTCATTCCTAGCTGATTATTTGTGATTGGTGAGGTTCACAATGGTAGAAAAACTCAGCCCTGGGAATGCTCCTCCTGTAATATGTGGGAAATCAGGGACACTTTCAGTATCCATGGTGACTGTGCATGCAGGAAGTGTATTCAGCTGCAGCTTCTGATTGGCTATGGATGCCGTGGAAAGCATGTTTAGTGAGCTGGTCACATCACAAGTAAGTGCTACATAGGAAGAAAAGCATTGGGTAACGACCATAAAGACTAGTAAGTATGGTTCGGCCACACCTGGAGTATTGTGTCCAGTTCAGGTCGCCTCATTGCAGGAAAGATGTGAAAGTGTTGGAAAAGGTGCAGAGGAGATTTACCAGGATGTTGCCTGGAATGGAGGGAAGGTCTTACGAGGAAAGGTTGAGAGAGCTAGGGCTTTTCTCTTTAGAACGACGAAGGATGAGAGGTGACTTGATGCAGGTGTACAAAATGATCAGAGGTATAGATAGAGTGGACAGCCAGAGACTTTTTTCCTAGGGTGGAGGTAGCTATTACGAGGGGGCATAGTTTTAAAGTGAGTGGAGGAAGGTATGGGGAGATGTCAGGGGTAGGTTCTTTACTCAGAGAGTGGTAGGAGCGTGGAATGCATTGCCGGAGAAGGTAGTGGAGTCGGCCTCATTAGGGCCATTTCAGCTGCTATTAGATAGGCATATGGATGATAGTATAAGGTAGGGATGGAGGTTAGATAGACCTTAGGTTTAGGGTAAAAGTTCGGCACAACATAGTGAGCCAAAGGGCCTGTACTGTGCTGTACTGTTCTATATTCTATGTTCTATGCTCTATGCTCTATGTTCTAAGTATGGGCAGGCAGCGCAGGAGTCCCTCTTAGGAGAAAGCAACAGCAACAGCCAGGTCAGTGGCAGCACAACTGGAACCTTTATACAACAGAGAGGACCTGGTATGGGTGAGCAGTACTAATAGGGGACTCTATGCTCAGGGGCACAGATAGGATGGTATGTTGCCTCCCTAGTACCAGGGTCAAAGATGTCTCTGAACAGGCACAGGATATTCTGAATGGGCAGAGTGAGCAGCCAGAGGCCATGGTCCATATTGGTACTAACTATGTAAGCAGGAAGAGAGATGAGATCCTGCAAGAGGGAATTTAGGGAGTTAAGCAGGAAGTTGAAAAACACGACCTCTAGAGTTGTAATCTCCCTGCACCCCATGCTGGTGAGGCCAAAAATAGGAAAATAATACAGAGCTGGTGTAGGAGGGAGAGCTTCAAATATCTGAATCGTTGGGATCTCTTCCAGGGCAGGGGGGGACCGGTGCAAGAAGGATAGATTGCACCTTAACTGGAGGGGCACCAATATCCTGACAGGGAGGATTGCTATGCACTCAGGAGGATTTAAACTAATGTGGCAAAGGGCGAGGAAATGGAGTGATTGAGGAGAAGGTCAACGTTAAAGCCATTAAGTCTCATAGGAAGAACAGGCAAGGCTAGGTTAACGAACACAGTGGGACTGGTAGCATTATTTTAATGAAAGAAATATCATAGGTGAAGCAGATGAGCTCAGAGTGTGGATTAGTACATGGAACTGCGGTGTTGTAGCCCTTACAGAAACTTGGTTGAGAGAAGGGCAAGACTGGCAGCTCAACATTCCAAGGTTTCGGTGTTTCAGGTGAGAAAGAGAGGGGTGTAAAAGAAGTGGGGGAGATGCATTACTGATTAAGGAGACTTCCACAGCTGTACTAATAGAGGACATCTTGGAGGAGTCATCCAGCAAGGCAGTATCGGTAGAACTCAGGAATAAGAAAGCTGCAATCACCATGATGGGGTTATACAATAGGCCTCCCAATAACCAGCGAGAGATAGAGGAACAGATACGTAGGCAAATCATGGAAAGATGTTGTTGTAGTGGGCGATTTTAACTTCGCCAACATTGGCTGGGACTCCCTTACTGCCAGGGGCTTAGACAGGACAGAATTTGTTGGGTGTATTCATGAAGATTTCTTGAAACAATGTGTAGGTAATTCATCAGGGAAAGACCAATCTAGACCTTGTATTGGGGAATGAAGTTTCAGTGGGGAAATATTTTGGGAACAGTGATCTTAATTCAGTAAGCTTTAAAATAGTGATTGATAAGGTCAAGACTGATCCTCAGGTGAAAGTGCTGAATTAGGGGAAGGCTAGTTACAACAGAGTTAGAAAAGAACTGGAGAAATTACATTGGAGTGGCTGTCTGAGGTGAAATCCACATCTGATATGGGGGATTCTTTTAATGCCCAGTTTTATGGAGTTCAGAACTAGCATGTTCCTATCAGGATGAGAGGTAAGGATGGCAAGATTCAGGAATTAGTTTCTTAGAATCCCTAGAGTGTGGAAACAGGCCCTTTGACCCAGCAAGTCCACACCAACCCTCACAGCATCCCACCCAGGCCCATCCCCCTAGAACCCACCTAATCTACACATCCATGAACACTACGGGCAATTTAGTATGGCCATTCCACCTAACCTACACATCTTTGGACTGTGGGCGGAAACCGGAGCACCCGGAGGAAACCCATGCAAACACGGGTAGAATGTGCAAACTCCACACAGACAGTCACCCAAGGGTGGAATCGAACCCGGGTCCCTGGCGCTGTGAGGCAGCAGTGCTAACCACTGAGCCACCGTGCCGTCCCAATCTTGGAATGACAAGAGATATTGAAAGTTTAGTCAAAAAGAGAAAGGAAGCATATGTAAGGTTTAGAAAACTGCAGGCTGGTAGGTGCCTGGAACGTGCTGCCCGGGGAGATGGGAAAAGCAGATATGTGAGCCAAGTTTAAGATGAATTTAAACAGATGCATAAGTCATTTGGACCAGATGCAGGCAGATGGGATTAGTTTAGAATGGCATCATGGTCTGCAGAGACATGGTGGGCCAAAGGGCCTGTTGCTGTGCTGTACTGCTATATGTTTCAAAGGGAGGGTGAGAGGAGGAATCAGGGAACTGGCTTGGCTGCACTTAATGACACATTGATCTCTTCAAAGAGCTTCTTAAGAGACTGAGATGTGAGAGAATGCAATTCTCAGTCACAAAATCAGTAAACTGAATAGTTTGGTGCATGTTAATACAGATCTGTCAGATTCAATGTGAACAGAAGTTAAAGTTTCTTTCATTGGGGGCAAACAAAAAAAAAATTCACAGGAGTTGGAAGATGTTGCAGCAGATCATGCAGTTTATCTTCCACTTCCTGCTCCAGTTACACTGCAAGGCCCTTCAGGCAGCTGTCCCTGTCTTGTGTAAGGCTTCAACAGACCCCAGTCTGACTGGTACCTGGTACCTGCCTTTACTCCTCATGCTCCTATCTCCTGCAATCACTCAATACTGAACTAATCTCTGGCCTGATTAGGCCATTTACATTTAAAGATTACATCATGTGATCAATGTCGATGTGGATCAGGGTTAGGGCCTAGAAGTATCTGCACTTCAGATTCAAACTCAAAATCAAAATCCAACATTCAATAAATAATAAATTGACCATAATTGGTTCAGAGATAACTGGACACCCTCAAAAGGTGCTTGATAAATGCAAGTCATTTTGAGACATTCAGAATGTTGTACCTGCGATGAGCGCATAAAGATGAGAACTCTTGGTTGGGTAATTGTTACCATCAAACTTTTGTGGTCCTTGGCAAAATGCACGGCACTCAGTCTCAGCGACCCAGTACTGAGTCAGTGCCTCTTCAAATGAATCAATAGCTAGGGCATAGTGTTCTTCATCGTAATGTTTCAAACCAGTACTGAAGGCTGCCTGCAAACAAATGAGACAAGATTGAGGATTTGTCCAGTGAAACAACTCAAATTCAAATTATTAATCAACAAAGAATGTTCAAAATCTCCAAAAACAGCAAACTGTTCTTTTAAAAGGAAAACAATGTTTTACAAATATAGTCTGCTTTAGTTGCGTCATAGTGTCAGATTAACAGACACATTCACTCAAGATGCTCAGAGATGAAGCAGAGTGGTGTAAAGGTCACTGCAGGGGTCAAACACTAGTCAATCGGGGTTATATAGAGTTATACAGTGACAGATATGACCCCACCAATACTGTGCCCCAGTGATATACAGTGACAGACCTGTCCCCATCAGTACTGTATCCCAGTGTTATACAGTGACAAACATGTCCCCACCAATACTGTACCCCAGTGTTATACAGTGACAGACCTGTCCCCATCAATACTGCACCCCAGTGATATACAGTGACAGACCTGTCCCCATCCGTACTGTACCCCAGTGTTATACAGTGATAGACCCATCCCCACCAGTACTGTACAACAGTGTTACAGTGACAGATCTGTCCCTTTAAGTGGTGCACCCTAATATTCTCTGCACAGTTCAATTGCTAAAACAGAACTGCCAATCAACTGGGTGTTTAATTTCACTATAATTTCAATATATTTCCCTGAAATTCCAATCTCATAGCTGGTGCACACTCTGAATTTCTCCTTTTACCATGTATGGCCTCAAATCCTGATCGATGAAGTGAGATTCCTTCACTCCCTCCATTAGCTTGTATCGTTCCAGACTCTGCCGCATTTCCATGTGCTCAGGATTCGCCTGGAAAAATGTGTGAGCTGCTGCAGCTGCTTTATCCAATTCATTGAGCTAGAAACAAACATTACAGACATTACCAGCTGTGTTAATAAAGCCTCTCATTGTATAGCTGAAAGCACATCAGTATCGACATTTTAACACACACTGCACCTCACATACTTCTGTCTGCTACTTCTCACCTAACTTGCCTGTTAATATTTTTAAAACAAGCCTTTTATATCAGACTAAGCTTGTACCTCAACCCCACTGGGGAGACAGTAACATGACGACTGGTCAAAAGGTGCAGCATCAAGTCCCTTCCATCGTCACTGCATTTATTGACTATTACTGACTCTTGTCCACCAACAGCTTACAGAACACAAGAAACAGCAGCAGAAATAAACCATTCAGCCCTTAAAACCTGCTCAATCATTCAAAAAGGTCATGGTTGAAGATACGTTCAGCTGGGAAAAATGTGGAGATACAATACAAATTAAAGGGTACATCTCTAAAGGGGGTGTAGGAACAAAGAGATCTGGGTGTTCTACGTACAAAAATCATTACAGTTGGCAGGACAGATTGAGAATTTCGTAAATAAAGCAGCTAGTATCCTGGAATAAAAACAGAAATTGCTGGAAAATCTCAGCAGGTCTGGCAGCATCTGTAGAGAGAAATCAGAGTTAACATTTCCGGTCTAGTTACCCTCCCTCAGTATCCTGGGTTTTAATAATAGGGGCATGGAGCACAGGAGCAATTAGATTACATTTTATATAAGACAATACTCCAGCAATGTCCATTTCTGGGTGCTGCTCTTAATGAAGGATGTGAAGGGTTTGGAGAGAGACAGATTTCAATAGAATAGTCCCAGGGATGAAGAACTAATGTGGCAGGGGGATGGGAACCAAATGAGGAGGTTAGTGGACAGTAAGGAGGTAGTAACTAAAGCCTGTAAGGAACTAGGTAATGAAGTCAGTGTGACTAAGGGGAAGAGTAGGCAGAGAGCAGATGATGAACGCAAAGGGACAGGTGGTCTGAGGTGCATTTGTTTTAATGCAAGAAGTGTAGTAGGTAAGGCAGATGAACTTAGGGCTTGGATTAGTACCTGGGAATATGATGTTATTGCTATTACTGAGACTTGGTTGAGGGAAGGCCAAGATTGGCAACTAAATATCCCAGGATATAGATGCTTCAGGCAGGGGAGAGAGGGAGGTAAAAGGGGTGGAGGAGTTGCATTACTGGTCAAAGAGAATATCACAGCTGTACTGAAGAAGGGCACTATGGAGGACTCGAGCAATGAGGCAATACAGGCAGAGCTCAGAAATAGGAAGGGTGCGGTAACAATGTTGGGGCTGTACTACAGGCCTCCCAACAGCGAGCGTGAGATAGAGGTACAAGTATGTAGACAGATTATGGAAAGATGTAGGAGCAACAGGGTGGTGGTGATGGGAGATTTTAATTTTCCCAACATTGACTGGGATTCACTTAGTGTTAGGGGTTTAGATGGAGCAGAATTTGTAAGGAGCATCCAGGAGGGTTTTATAGAGCAGTCTGTAAATAGTCCAACTCAGGGAGGGGCCATACTGGACCTGGTGTTGGGGAATGAGCCTGGCCAGGTGGTTGAAGTTTCAGTAGAGGATTACTTTCGGAATAGTGATCACAATTTCGTAAGTTTTACAATACTCGCGGACAAAGACGAGAGTGGTCCTAAAGGAAGAGTGCTAAATTGGGGGAAAGCCAACTATAGCAAAATTCGGTAGGAGCTGGGGAATGTGGATTGGGAGCAGCTGTTTGAGGGTAAATCCACATTTGATATGTGGGAGGCTTTTAAAGAGAGGTTGATTAGAGTGCAGGACAGACATGTCCCTGTGAAAATAAGGGATAGAAAGGGCAAGATTAGGGAACCATGGATAACAGGTGAAATTGTGAGACTAGCAAAGAGGAAAAAGGAAGCATATATAAGGTCTAGGCGACTGAAAACAAATGAAGCTTTGGAAGAATATCAGGAAAGTAGGACCAATCTGAAATGAGGAATTAAGAGGGCTAAAAGGGGTCATGAAATATCTTTAGCAAACAGGGTTAAGGAAAATCCCAAAGCCTTTTATTCGTACATAAGGAGCAAGAGGGTAACTAGAGAAAGGGTTGGCCCACTCAAGGACAAAGGAGGGAAGTTATGCAAGGAGTCAGAAAAAATGAGTGAGATTCTTAATGAGTACTTTGCGTCGGTATTCACCGAGGAGAGGGACATGATGGATGTTGAGGTTAGGGATAGATGTTTGATTACTCTAGGTCAAGTCGGCATAAGGAGGGGGAAAGTGTTGGGTATTCTAAAAGGCATTAGGGTGGACAAGTCCCCAGGTCCGGATGGGATCTATCCCAGGTTACTGAGGGAAGCGAGACAGGAAATAGCTGGGGCCTTAACAGATATCTTTGCAGCATCCTTCAGCACGGGTGAGGTCCCGGAGGATTGGAGAATTGCTAATGTTGTCCCTTTGTTTAAGAAGGGTAGCAAGGATAATCCAGGTATTAATAGACCAGTGAGCCTGACGTCAGTGGTGGGGAAGCTGCTGGAGAAGATACTGAGGGATAGGATCTATTTACATTTGGAAGAAAATGGGCTTATTAGTGATAGGCAGCATGGTTTTGCACAGGGAAGGTTGTGTCTTACCAACTTGATAAAATTCTTTGAGGAAGTGACAAAGTTGATAGATGAAGCAAGGGCTGCAGATGTCATATACATGGACTTCAGTAAGGCGTTTGATAAGGTTCCCCATGGTAGGCTGATGGAGAAAGTGAAGTTGCATGGCATCCAGGGTGTACTAGCTAGATGGATAGAGAACTGGCTGGGCAACAGGAGACAGAGAGATGTAGTGGAAGAGAGTTTCTCAAAATGGAGAACTGTGACCAGTGGTGTTCCACAGGGATCTGTGTTGGGACCACTGTTATTTGTGATTCACATAAATGATCTGGAGGAAGGTATAGATGGTCCGATTAGCAAGTTTGCAGATGACACTAAGATTGGTGGAGTAGCAGATAGTGAAGGGGACTGTCGGAGAATACAGCAGAATATAGATAGATTGGAGAGTTGGACAGAGAAATGGCAGATGGAGTTCAATTCAGGCAAATGTGAGGTGATGCATTTTGGAAGATCCAATTCAAGAGTGAATAATACAGTAAATGGAAAAGCCCTGGGGAAAATTGATGCACAGAGAGATCTGGGTGTTCAGGTCCCTTGTACCCTGAAGGTGGCAACACAGGTCGATAGAGTGGTCAAGAAGGCATACGGCATGCTTTCATTCATCGGACGGGGTATTGAGTACCAGACTTGGCAGGTCATGTTACAGTTGTATAGGACTTTGGTTCAACCACATTTGGAATACTGCGTACAGTTCTGATCGCCACATTACCAAATGGGTGTGGATGCTTTGGAGAGGGTGCAGAGGAGGTTCACCAGGATGTTCCTGGTATGGAGGGCGCTAGCTATGAAGAGAGGTTGAGTAGATTAGGATTATTTACATTAGAAAGACGGAGGTTGAGGGGGGACCTTTTTGAGGTCTACAAAATCATGAGAGGTATAGACAGGGTGGATAGCAAGAAGCTTTTTCCCACAGTGGGGGACTCAATTACTAGGGGTCACGATTTCAAGGCGAGAGGGGAAAAGTTTAAGGGAGATATGCGTGGAAAGTTCTTTACGCAGAGGGTGGTGGGTGCCTGGAACGCGTTGCCAGCGGAGGTGGTAGAGGCAGGCACGATAGCGTCATTTAAGATGTATCTAGGCAAATACATGAATGGGCAGGGAGCAGAGGGATACAGATCCTTGGAAAATAGGCGCCAGGTTTAGATAGAGGATCTGGATCAGCGCAGGCTTGGAGGGCCAAAGAGCCTGTTCCTGTGCTGTAATTTTCTTTGTTCTTTGTTCTAACTCCAGTTACATAGATAGATTGGAGAAGCTGGATGGTTCTCCTTGGAGAAGAGATGGCTGAGGAGATTTGATTGAAGTATTCAAAATCATGAAAAACCTGGGCATAGAAACATAGGAGCAGGATTAGGCCATTCAGCCCATCAAGCCTCCTCTGCCATTCAATTAGAACATAGCTGATCATCTAGCTCTATGCTGTTTTCCCATGGCATCTCGTATCCTTAATGTCTCTCCTCTCAAAAAATGTATTGATTTCTGTCTTGAACCTGCTCAAAAATTAGGCTTCTCCAGACGTTGGGACAGCATTCCAAACAGTCACTTCCCTCTGAATGTTCAAATTGTTCCCCATTTCAATCCTGCATGGCCAAACCCTTGTTCTGAGACTGTGTCTCCTTGTTCTGGATGCCCCAGTGAAGGGCAACATCTGATCTACCTCCACCCTGTCACACTTGTAAGAATTTTGTAAGTTTCAATGAGATCACATCTCATTCTTTAAAACGTATGTGGAGCAGAGCAAATAATCCCACCATCCCAGGGATTATCTGGTGAACATCTGTTGCAGTCTCTCAGTGACAAGTGTATCCCTCCTTAGAGAAGGAGACCAAAGCATACACAATGCTTCTGGTGTGGTCTCACCAAGGCTCCATACAACTGCAGCAAAGATATCTTTATTCCTGCAGTCAAAAATCTTTGTGAATGAAGGCTAACATACCAATTGTTTTGCTTGCACCTGAACACACTATTGCTGGATTCTAAATTGCTGCCATCTTCAATCTTACTTTATCTGGCACCCTTATAAGCCAATTCCTTTGTCCTATTGCAATCTTTAACTTATTTTTTTAACCATTAGTGATTTACCTTTCATTTCGAGTGTTTGTACCTTAAGGAAATGTATATTTGTTGTAGACTATGTATAGAACTTCTTTAAATGCATGCTATCTCCTGTGCGTATTAAATATTTTTAGCACATTTTCCCAATCCACCATAGCCAACTAGCCTCCCATTCCTTCATAAATTACTTTCATCAATTTAAGACTCTAGCTTCAGAATAAACCACATCATATTTTAATTTAATGGGAAATTAGGTCACTATTTCCTAAAGACTCTTTTTCAAGAAGGTTCTTAATTATCATTTTCTCATTACAGAATAATAAAT